CTGCGATTATGTCTCATTATGGCACGAGTATTAAATTATACAATGAAAAAATTCTTCTTATATTATAAATTTCTTTTTTTTTTATAATTCTGATAAATTAGATATAAATATACATACAATATATTTTTTGAGCAAGAAAATAAATATTATGCAGTATACAAGTGAAAGACCATAATCAGTCGAAATAAAAATTAGCGATAATTGTTAAATTATAATCTACATTTACTATCACAATGAAATATATTATTAAATGTAATAATACAAAGCTAAAGATTTAAATATATCATCTCTTTTATTATTCATAAAAAAAAAAGCAAATCTACTTAATAAATAAAATAATCTAAAAAATAAAAAATAAAATTTATCAACATCCTACATATTGAAAAATACATCATATATATCAATGATTAAATTCTAATAGCACAGTTAATTATTTAATACAATTACATATTATTTTCTTTTCTTAATTTAATACTAAAATTATTATTTTATAATATTTAATTATATTAGATATAAAATAGTTAAAAAAAAACTGAATTAAAAGTCTGAATGATAGACAAACAATCTGATTAACTTAATTTTATATATATATATGTGTGTGTGTGTGTGTGTATTTTATAATATTTCTATTCATACTCGATATAAATTTACGATATATACGATTTTAACAACACTATAATTTTATTTTTACATCTGTCAACGAACGAAAAAAGAAAAAAAGTTAAGAAGTACGGATAAAATGAATTGATAAATTGAATAAAATTTTTATTAGACAGATTTATTAGCATAAAAATTTTATCCGATGATAAAATTATCATTCATGTAAGATATTCTAATATCCTTGTTCCGTTTCTAATGCGTTTCTTATCGTTCGAATTATTCATGTGTCGTATAATGTGACATAATCACAGCAATAATTATGGTATTTTTATCTATGATACTTTTTTTTTTTTTAATAATAATAAATAGTAGCTTCTGCAGCGATATACGGATGTAGATTTTACAAGAGTCGCTGGTTGCACGCCGTGCCAGCCCTCTTCCGAATTTTCTGGTAATAAGCTCAATATGTCTTCAGTGGTTCGATAATGTAATCACACATATTGATGCACAGAGTATTGCATAAATACTAATAAGTTCCTTATAACGCATTGATAAGGATCTTGCATATCTTTCCTTATTTCAATTTCACTTTTTACTTCATCATTTAACTATTATTGTTAGTGATGCTACTTAATAGCTTCTTCTTCTTCTTCTTCTTTTTTTTTCTTTTTTTTTTTAGAAATGATGATAATGACGATGACGATGGTAATAATAATAATCAATAAAAATTAATAATTAATAATGGTAATAATATAATTATAATATAATTATAATATAATATAATATATAATATAATATAATATAATAATATAATATAATGTACTATTAATAATATGTCTTTGCTTTGTGCGATCGACCAAGTGCAACGTGGCCTAAAAGGCGATCAACGGCAAAAGGATTCCGCTTTAATTGATTCGACATCAATTTATAAATATATTCGCTTCGCCTTCTATCCGCATCGCTCGCATCGGTCGGCGACGATTTTATAAACAGGTACATGCAATGAATTTCGTCGCTTTTACGAAGATGTCGCCCGTGGCTTGACCCGTGGCGTGCGTGAATGTATTTATGTTTTGTATTTTTCTGGTGTGTGTGTGTGTGTGCGTGTGTGTGTGTGTGTGTAACGGCGCCCCGGTCGACCGCACGATCAAAAATTGCATTTCATTAAATCGATATGAGATCGTTTTGGTATGATAATCCCGGCCATTTAATTTATCCGCGACATTATTTTTCCCTTCCGAATCTCGGCGATCATGCTGGGACCAGAGCCCATGGATTGATTATCCGGGGCGATCGTTGTCTCTGTCATTCAATATAGGATTTTGATCGCCCCTAATTGGCTCGCTTGTCGAATCGATCGAATGTTCGGTTAATACGCGCGCGGACTATGCTCAGCTATCGCGGCCAACAGTGTTGCCAACGGAGCCCGGGATTCTTTTTACGCGCTCATCTCAGCTGTCGTTGCGCGAGATTCAATGATGCATCGATTCATAGGACAAATAACTAAGAATGGTCGCAGGAAGAAAGATCCAACGTTACGATTCGATTGATCAACGATCAATAATCGAATAATAACGTACGTACATCCATACACTGGCAACACTGTGGACGCGAGAACGACTTTTTTTTCTTTTTTTTTTTTTTTTAAATTATTCATATTGTCGTTGGAGGGTAGTCGGCAGAAAATTATCGGGTCCAGGTTCGTTCCCTGGCGTTTGAACGTTGTCAGGCGATCTATTAAATGCGATTATATATAGTATTTTACAATAATAACGAGCGAGTCCTCGACTCGATGCAACGAATTCGACTAAGTAATATTGACGTTTACTTCACAAGAAGATACGTATGTATATATAGTTTCAGTGCCTAGTTTCGGTTGGCCATTTTGATCGAAGCGAGAAAGGACAACCATCGCGAATGACGATGACGAAGATACGTATCCGTGATATATAGATGAGGATCCAACGTTTTGATCAGGAATACATTTACTTCAATCAAAATGGCCCACCATATCGTTTCCGTATGAAATAAACCTGAGGTATCTTTAAGTCTGTAAAGCTTCCGTTACGAATCTTTTAAGTTCTCGATCTCTTTCCGTTCTCATCGCGTTTTTTTTCGCGTTAAATGTCCATCTTTTTTTCTTTTTTAAAAACTTCTCTTTGTTTACCCTTCGTTATTTTTTCCTTTTGTTTTTTTTTTTCGTTTTTTTCTTTTTTTTTTTTTTTTTTTTTTTTTTAGTTTTTTTTTCTTCAAATTTTTAATTTTAAAATAAAGTACCAGAGAATATTTGGCATTTCAGATGGCACAATCGTTAACCTTGTACTGATTTTCCATATAGTGCCTGTGTTTAATTCCCGCCAAAATTCTCTTTTGATTTCTACATTCTTCACGCAAGAAAGGATTCAGAGTCGGTTTTATTCGAACTCGTTCCCTGTTGAAAGGCATAACGGTAAAATCAAGTTTTTCTTTCTGATGCAGTTCACCGTTTCAAATAATATATTCTTTCATCTTTCTATATAGACAAGAGAAAAATTAAAAATTTCATTTGACACATTTGCCGAATAATACTACTCTCGGTATTATATTAAAATCAATTTATCAAAATTTCTAAAAATTTTAAAAAATTCTTCGTATTATACGTAATTATACATATTTTGAATAATATAAAATAAAATGGAAATAATCCTAATAAGAATACAAACTATTCTCTCTATTTCACTCTAAAAAGGTCGTTAACGTTAAATTCGAATAAGAAATATTAACAAGACGTTAATATAATATATAGGGTGGATATAAAAAAGGAATGCTTAATCGTTTCTTTCATCACTTAATACATATAAAAAAATAAATACTAAATACTATAATTTCATATATAAAGTAAATCACAAATATTAATTATAAAATTATTATTATTATCATCATTTTAATATCAATAATATTTAAAAATATTTCTAACAAATTAACTATATAACTTTTAATCTCTTCTTATTAATATTATATTTTTAATTTCATTGATTTCGATAATTTCAAATATTTTCAACGATTAAAATTTTTTAACGCTCAAGCGTTCCATTTTTCTAAACCACCCTTTATACAAACATGAGGCATCCACCAATCTGCCATATTCCCTTCACTCGTAGCATTATTCGGCGTTCTTACTGTGATTTTCGGGAAAAGTTTGCGATTACAGCCGTGAAAAACATTTTCCTTTGACAAATTTTGATTTAAAAGAAGGAACCTATTTGGACGGCAATTACTTTCTATCCTATGCAATTCTCGCGGCTTAATTCGCGCGAAGCTTGCTCTCATCTAGCGACCTTCGTATTTCCTACTTTTCCTTCCCACTTTTTCAAAATTTCTCCTCTCATTCATAAATCGTTTTCCGTACAATTTTCTTACAAAATTTCCATTCAAAATCGTAACGATCATGATCTTTTCTTTTTTTCCTTTTTCTTTTTTTTCTCTCTCTTCTTAAGATTAGCAGGCTTTAATCATGTTCTTACGTTCGATCGAGCACAGTGACATCGGATAATACTTGTATTTTTTTTTTGATGCGTCCACGAAACTCTATTCTCTGAATATTCGCTGGGATTTATAGTATACTATTCTAATGTTTTCCGTTGTCAGCTAAACCGATCGAAGAGACAAAAAGAAATACAAATTACTTTCTAAGTACGTAGACAACGTATT